ATCACGGGTGTGCTGGAAAGGTAAGACGCGAGTCCGAACATTTGTTGAATGTCCGGGTGCTTGACGCTTTGTATATCAGGCCATTATAAAGGATGTTGTGGAAACATACAGTTCTGCTTGTGCGAAAATACCATATTCGGATAAGACCTAAAAGTTTGTGACGATAGTACATTGGTAGAAATATGTTTTTGGACATTATCCATTGTCTTATCTTTTTCTAAAAACCGTCCTGTTTATTTTTCAAACCAACGTTTCGGATACTGGATTCTATCTCCGTCTTCAGGTAAAACATAATTAGTTGGGCCCAATCGATAGAGTTAGTCCCTATCTCCGGAGACAAAATCCAGTCACCGAAACGCTATGTTTTGAAAAATAAACAGGACGGTCTTTAGATAAAGACAAGACGATGGATAATATCCAAAAACATAATATTTGTACCATATTCAAAATTTGTTATCTGCTATCTCATTCAACACATTTAATAAGTCACAAATGAACACTGATATTGTCGTTAGCTGAATTTACAAGCGGTGCAAAGTTGCTGTGCGTACAGTAGTGTGATTACGTGAATGTTTTCATGACACTTTTATGTTTATTTATTTATTGTAATCTACATACTTTTACATTGTTTTTTTTACGCATCCTCAATTCAAAATAGAACACGAATGTGTTCCGCTCTTGGGAACACGTGTGCTTTCCGTATCGCAGCGTTATTTATATTCCAGGTTCGTACGCAAAATGTCACATAAGACAGACCATACCATCAGAAAATGTAATAGAGACTTCGTAATCGGAGGTATGCAGTTCGGATTTCGACTCGTAGACGTACCTGATATCCTGACTGAGGGATCGTACGGCAAAGCTGAGTTTCCTCTGGAAACTGCCGACATAATTCCAAATGCTCTGCGGTCACTTCTTATTCAGTCTTTGAGGTCACCAATATTTATTTAAACATCTAATTTTTGCGGACCTCCTCTATGGTCTAGTGGTCAGAGTTCCTGGCTACAAATCCAGAGGTCCCGGATTGGATTCCCGGGGCTACCAGATTTTCTGAGAAGTAGTGGGTCTGGAACGGGGTCCTCTCAGCGTCGTGAGGATAATTGAGGAGCTATTACAAAGAAATGCCGGCTCCGATCTAGAAAACCGAGATTAACGGTCGTGGGGATCCGTTGCGCTGACCACGTGACACCCTCTATCCGCAAAAGTTGGCACTGACTTCGCCGACAAACGGCGGTCTCTGGGTTGGTATAGTTATCTTGCGGACTACAGGCCACGGAGTTTTTTTTTTGTTTCTAATTTTTGCGTAGCACAACGTATACAGTTCTTAGAGCGTAATCAATTAAATAAGTTACGGAATCAAATGAACCCATATAGTTATCATTTTGAATTCCCAGGAATAAAAAGCCCCTACTCATAAATATATCTGTAACCGAATTTTGTGTATTCGGATTAGGCACTTCAGTAGCCACCCTTTTCTGGGCTTCCGGAATCTGTAACTAATGTCTTTCAATTTTACTCGATGTTCACCTAGCCTTACATTTCTTATTTTCGTAAAAATAAAGTTTCAAACCCTGAACACTACTTGTTGATTTATAACCTGGGGTCCCAAAGTACGCTTTTCAGCATGCGCACAGAATGTGAAGTTGGCTGGTATGGTGGCCACACTGAAATGCATTCAGTGAACTATCGAAACTTTTTCCCGTCCTGCAGTCCTCATCACATTCTTGCGAGCAGAATATATGTACATGTATTCATGAAACGTTAAAATGCTCATCATTGAATTGGCGTCGTTAATTCGTAACCCATGCTATTTTTGCATACAAGTAAATGTGTTGTCACTTCAAGTGCTGCTTCTGCCTTTGCATTAAACACCCCTGCTCTGCCCTGTTAAACAGTGATGGCACACTAGTTGAACAGTTGTAATTAGTTCTGCATTCATTTGTGCAGTATATCCTGGACTTAACGGACCAATTAGGGGGAGGTGGTGTCCGATAATGCCAAATGACCGTCAAATCCAAATGTCCGTAAAATAGCATCTGCATGGAAGTCCATTAAACAACAAGTGATATGCTCGTATTTTGAAGCACAACAAAAACTGCGTTTACGTGAAAAACGACAAATATTTTGCTATAACATATCATGCTTTAGAAAATAAGTAATAATAAATTACTCCTCTCTCTTTTAACAGGAAACCTAAACATTATGTAGTCTGTTCAGAAGAGGAGTCACTTTGCTCCTCCTCCATGTTTTTTTATCAGACCTGGCGAGTGATTAACGCCACTTACTGAGAGGGTGCTAGGTTGGGTGACACAGGTTTTGGTCGGCTTGAAGAAAACATCCAATTTGAATAGTGTTCTGGAAGTTTGCTGCTTAGAATAATGAGCTGAGCCCTAGGATCAGATGACGAGTCGATCAACCTGAGAATAACGGGGAGGTACAGAACAATTTTGTCCGTTAAATCGAGGATTTACTGTAGTTTTCGGATTCATGTTTTCAAGATCTGGGCATTCTGTTTCTGCATGGAAAAGGAGAGAAACCCCATATAATGTGTTATCAAGTTGAAAAGAGACGGCCATGAAGAAGTGAAACACGTGGCAATCTCTATATGGAGACCTAAGAGATGCATTGCTGAATGGAACACTATAATCATTTAGGGTGAGGCAGTACACGAGAGAGGAATAATTTGGCCTGGGATCATGTTGGAATGCAGTGGTGGGACGCTGCATACGTAGAGGAAGCAAGTACAGTAGCCTCCCCTGGCCTCAGGGTGCGTTGTGAGTGAACAGGTTTGCCCTAGAAAAATTATGAAAATAAAAATCTTGTGAGAAGATAGTTTTCGTTAAGACTGAAGAAAATTCGCACCGGCTTCACACTCCAAATTCAAAATGAAGTCAGCAGTTGTTGCCCAACAATGACGCCGAAAAAACTGTTCTGTAGAATTTGAATTCAATGTCGAATCTCGCTGGATGTTATTTCATTTCGGTGAGCCAGAAATTCTCTCTTGTCACAGTCTGTGAGAATCTGTGGCTTGAGAGCAACCGGGGGGCTTGTTCCAGTTAGCAAACCGCATTCACTTCACTATTCCGGAAAGGAAGTCCACCAACTAAAGCGCTACATGAAGCTATGTCACTCACTCTGCCGCCCTAATGCATGCCGATGTGTTCCAGTAAGTCTGTTAGAGGAGAAATGGCGAACCTGCTGTTCTAGTAACTTGTTCATAGTCGAAGTTGATTCGTGCATTTGTACGTTTTAATGCAGTGAGTGGAATTTATATGTGGGTGTCCCTATGTTTATGAGAGCTGTATTATCCTCTTTTGGGAAACATTTCGACTCTGGGACTAGGAGGATATGAAATGTAATAGCTTTTCCTGATGCCTCAGAACTTTATATCATCACTACGAATATTTGAATGTTAAAATTGATGTAAAATATACAACGCAAATGAATTATTTGATGGATCTTAACATAAAATGAACACTGGATCTCACTGAGTTTGATATATTGTGGCCGCTCGAATTTTCTATGTCTTTAGAGCTTCACGGCCTTAGTTTGAAAATATCTGGGTACTGTGACCGGATCTTATTGCATACCTAGGCCTATACACACATGCAGTTTCGTTATGTTGTTTTAAGATGTATTAGAAATTCCTCCGTGGCAATTATTGCATATCTTTGATGAGTAGTGGACTCATCTGAGTGTTCATACTGTTAGTAGTTTACTGTTTGCTTTGAAGGTGGCCAGTGTTCTATACAGCTAAAGTTCTCAATATCTCCAGTCTGCTTCTGTCAGTCTCTGAATCGTGAAAGTCATTTCATAGGCTGTCATAACACCCTAACAACCACATCAGTTCTGCCTTAGAATGTGATTGAATATTCTTGTATCATATTGCCTACATGCTTGACATAGGCCAGTTTGCCAGTCCATAGAGTCTGTAAATTGTACGAGATTCGGAAATACTCGTATTATACGCGCAATTTATCGAGGCTTCATCCAGAATATTTTCTTGTATCATTCTGCTGCAGTAAATCCAGTGCATTTTGAAATTGTTCAAAGTTTGACGTGTTTACGACTTACTGTGGTCATCACTAGAACATTGCTGAAGTATCTCCGAGCAGGATAATCTAACGATGGGACTAACGCTCTGAGACTCGTATTCGAGAGGTGTTCGGTTTGAACCTGTACCGGGACATCAGCTATACTGACTGAAGTTTGTCGTGGTTTCTTCAGTCCCTCCAGGAAAATTCTAGGACAGTACCTGGGGTATGAAACGACTGGTTCCTTCCAAATCCTCTCCAATTCATCCGCCATTCGACGTGTAAACGTCTTAAAATAAGATGTAAGAAAGAAGTTACTGGAGTATCGCGAAATTTTCTCACCCCAAACAGCTAAACAAAGATCTATAGTACAATCTGATTCGAAATGCGTTTTTTAAGCGTTTGAAACACATTATCTCATATATGAACTGTTCGCTATAAAATAAAATAAAAAATAATCGCCCAGCATTCTTCGCACAGAATTTATTTATGATTACTAGAGTAAAGAGAAATTATTTCCATACACAGTATTAATCGATTATTTATGTAATGAATACTGCGTGATTTTCGTGACGTAGGAACTGATTCTTTTATTACTGTATGATGAAATTCTTAGTTCGGATAGAGCGCTCCTGATGTACTGTGTTTTCTTTTGTGGCAGGTATATTAATTAGACTTGTTGTCATTTGAAATCAGTGACGTGCTGTGCTCGATAAAGCAGTTCGTCATTTCAGAATATTAACAATTATCCCACGACACCACCAGTGAAAAATGTTTATCGAAAGTTTACTGAGTTTTTACTCCGTGAATGCGACAGAGGCATTTCTTCCTAGTCTTTCCCACTCAGCCTTATCACCTGTAGTATCACATTCGATGGCAGGTTGGTAAGCGAAACGTCAAGTAAACACACAATCACTGGAAACTTTAATGCAAGTATAATATAAATATGTGTTTCTCCTTCTGCAGGGATTGGGCGGAAGCGGAAAACCTTCTCTCACATTCTACTTCCGTGTCCAGTTCTACGTGGACAGCCCCTTGTTATTCAGGTGAGAATGTTATATGGCTGTTCGGATGAATATTGTCTGTTTGGTATGTCTAGTTTGATGATGCAGTGACTAAGGTGATTTATTATTATTATTATTATTATTATTATTATTATTATTATTAATTCTAACTGCAAATGGGTTTTATCCCGGTGGCAGTGGTTTACAACAAGACACAACATACAAATAACTATACTTCTCACAAACAAATAACACAAACACAAATAACACAAAGCCACAAAGTGACACAAAGCATGAGTGAAACACAGCGCCCAAAACTCACAATGACACACCATAGACATACTATCCAGAATGAATACATTATGTTAATAATTAATAGAATAAATAAAATTGTTAATATTAATAAACTTGTTAATATTAATACAATACTAATTAATTCCCTTCTCTATTCTGAGTTTAAGATAGACTTAACTAATAGACTCGGTATTAAGTGTGAAGTGTAATTTTATATGTAATTTATTGTCACATTGCGGAAATCAGTATTACAGTGTAAGTGTGTTCTGTTAATAATACATTTGTTAAGGCAACGTTTGATACGCATAACGAAAAACAGCACATCTGATATGACATAGAAACAGCCTCAATTCAAGAAGATATGAAGGAACACCAACGACATATCTTAAGAATACTATATATCATTAGCGTACAGTGAATTAGAATCCTTAAATAAATGTTGCCTGAAGATGGCCTTGTAAGGCCGAAACATGTAGCAGCATAACAACATATGATATATATTTTAATAATTTTAATAGCATTTTATACATTTAACGATCATTGTGTGAATTAAATGTGAATTAATATTATTAATTTGTTGTCTTATAGACGGAAAAGATGTTCTTCAAACGTACATAGGTCTTTAACTCCAAGGCAAAAATAACGAGCGTTAAGGATACTTCTCTAAAACTGACATAAACCCTTTATGTTCAGACTACGTCACATAAAATACCCAGTTATTAAACCTTTTACATACTACTTAATTTTGTCTACTCAGAATACCTATAGCCTTGAAAATAAACTGAGATGTTTCAAGATACAGCCTGTTATCTCAGATTTATCCCGGAATCTCTTTCTGTATTGGCTAGTACTACATCAGTTATCCTGTAAGTAAATGATCTCGATTTCCTTACAGTGATCTTTTTACATCCGAGAAATCAACTAACACAACTCGAGCGGTAGTGTAGTTGGTTGAGGTACTATGCAAGAACCCGGAAGGTCGCGGGTTCTAGTCCCGATGAAGTTATTTTTTCTTCTTCCAATTTACCTAATGCTTCCAGCCGCACTGTGGCCCTGGGGTCGACTCAGCCTCTAACAGAAATGAGTACCAGGAATTTTCCTGGAGGGTAAAGGGCGGCGGGCGCGTAAGGCTGACAACCTTACCGCTATCTGTGAGCCGATGGTCTAGAGAAAATGTGGCAGCCTCGACGTCTCACAACCCTATGGGCCTTCACGGCCTGTTACATGGGATAACTTTACCTTTTTTACCACTCGAACTAGTGGACGTCTGACAGCAAAGCATGCCTCGATATAGGATTTGGGATTATCACGGTGGCGAAGATTGACATTGTCATCTTCTGACCTATGATGCCATTCTGTAATCTGATAAATGGATACCAAAGTTTCGGAGGAGCAAATTGTCCTCAGGTTAAAATGAAACTTCAGCCATAAAACTGGAGGCAGTATGTACCCCCTGACCGCTGTTAGTACTTTCACGGCATCAAAACCCAGAAGACAGTGTATCTCGATGCACTATCCTGTAAACCCTTCCCATAAGAGCGTACTTGTAAAACATTACGTAAATGGCTTTGCCTTATAAAGGGGCACACGCCACTTTCTCTGTAAACATGGAACAGCAAATATGTGCAAATAGACATCTATTTTTTGGAAATTTTCCTTATTGACTGACAAACCAATCAAATCCACGGAGCTGAGTCCTTCTTTTGAAGCCAACATCGCTCATCTCATAAAAGAACTTTCCAATATGTTGTCGGACCCCAGTGTTCATTATACACAAGAGACCTTCACTGGTCTCTATCTTGAGCTAGGTCTTGTCAATCCAGTCCATACCACTCCACCCTATTTCTCCAAGACTCATTTTAATATTATCTTCCCACTTACGCCTAGGTCTTCCTAGTGGTCACTTTCTTTGTGGCTTTCCCACCAAAACCCTGCTTGCATTCCTCTTGTCTTTCATGCGAGGTATATTCCTGCCCATCTTTTCCTCCTTGACTTCGTCATTCCAATCAAATTTGGCAATGAGTTTCTCATTTTGCAGTTTTCTCCAGCCCCCTGTTATTATTCGAAACTCGAAGCGACAATAAAGCGTTTTGAATTTATTTTATTCAGGGATGAAGTTACAAGACACCATTACTATCTGCAGCTGCGCTCCAATGTTCAGACAAGGGGTTTACTTCACGCGAACTCCACCGAGGAAGTTCTGTGCTTTCTGGCGGGGTATGCCCTTCAAGCCGATCTGGGGGACTTCGTGGAGGGAACCCACACGGGAACATACTTCAAGCCCGAAGAGTACCTCCCTCAACAAGTAAGTTCTAGGGTTTGTTCCAGAAGCTGTTGTTATATGTGTCACAGGACGTGAAGAACACCTTGAACAAGTACAGGGAAACTTCTACTTACGAGCTTTTCAAGAAATGAACATTGCGCGGACTAACAAATTGCGAGTCCCAGTCATTTAACTGACACAGGTCATGCACTGACGAATGTATTAACAAATGTAACGGTATTTCTAAGGAGAAAATAAATTAGACTTAACGAACCTTCAACTTATAAGCACATTTGGAAAAATACGTTATGTTCTTAAGTTGTGGTTAACCTGTATTTGAATGCAGTGAAGTTCGGAGTTTCATTTTATGTTTGGGAAAGAGGAGGTGGAGAGAATCGTAGGACAATATGGCATAATAGCGCATGATGATGACAATCCAATTGTCTTCTTCACACTTCTTACATTCCTGGTGAAAGGCAACAGAATAATGCTTCGAGAACAGATTTTTGTTATTATAGTAGGAAAGTAGTTTCTGAGCTTTACACATTGCTGCGTGTTTATTTAAAAATATCTGAAAATGTTACTGAAGTAATTAATGTGATTTACATTCAGATGGTGTCTGGAGACCAGCAGTTCATGCAGACATTGTTGGCACTGCACAGGGAAAACCATGGACTCAACAATGCAGAAGCTGAGCTTCAGTACATCCGAGAGGCATCTTCAGCTGAAGTTTCTCCTCTCACTCACAATGCACATCTGTATAGGCTCAAACACAAGAAACAAGAGGCAGGCCATGGTTCAGTGTGGCTTGCCATCTGTGCCAAGGGCATTGAAATATATGAGGTTTGTGTATTCATGAGTACTAGGCTCCAAGGGAGGATCTGCCCCACAAATTGAGAAAAATAGTTTTGAGGAATTGATATTTCAGAAATATTAATCTGGCCTTCACTTATATTTTTGCCTGGATTGTGATATTGAGATATAGAGCATCCTTAACTTCCAATTTCGAAAATTAGACTTTCTTGTGTTTTGTATACATAACGGTGTCATGTTCCTGGCCTTGCATAATTCTCTTGCTCTGAATAGAATGTGTTAAAATGATTGCTGAATCCTGTATTCGATTTAATGAATTTATGTCTAGTGACAAATTGCTTTAAATAATGAAATTTCATTACACTTTAGAAGCTACATTAGTGGATGCTTAAAAGAAGATGGATGATTGCACCAAGGTTCAAATGACTCTCTAGTGTTTAAATCCTTTTTGGGTTGAAGTTGCTTGTTATTAACATAGTAGTTTTGAGTTTACATTTTTACACCCATTCAAGGCATGCACAGAAGGCATCTCACCTAATACCTGATAATTTATAGTTTTTAGTCCCAGCTAAAAGTTCAGTCTATGAAATTTTGGGGCAATGTGTGCAGAGATCAATATTAGTCCATTTCCATACAGCTCTGTCCTTGGGAGAAATTTGCAATGAAGATTGAACACAGTTCCTTAAAATAAATCTTAGTGCAGAACTTGTTATGACATATGACAAATTAGAGTTCTGTAAAACCATTCAGTCATTATGTAAGATTTGAGGCTTTCACAGCCGTGACTATGAAGAAAGCAGTCTTTTGGGATTTGGCACCGTGTATATGTGGTGTTAACCGACGTTTCGGAGGAACGTATCGCCTCCATCTTCAGGGTAGAAGAAAAAATATAAGAAATCTGCAAGCGAAGAGACCGTCTGAGAGAACCGGTCTGAGACCAGTCTGCTTTCACCGGTTCTCACAGTCTCTTCGCTTGCAGATTTCTTATATTTTTTCTTCTACCCTGAAGATGGAGGCGATACGTTCGTCCGAAACGTCGGTTAACACCACATATACACGGTGCCAAATCCCAAAAGACTGCTTTCTTCATTCAGTCATTATCTCCCCCCCCCAGACTACAGACATTCACATGACTCCATATTCGATAATTTTCACTGCCACTTGTAAAATCTTCTCAGGTGATTATATGTATGAATTCAAAGTCAAAATCTAACATTTCAGAGACCTTTCCTGCCTTTATCAGCACATCATTTTGTGATGGTGGAGATAGAGAAGGTCTTTGAAAGATTGGACTTTAGCTTTAAATTGTTGGGGTTGATCACCCAAGAAGATTTTATCAGTTTCAGTCACAATGAAATCTTAGTATATTTTGCTGCCATGTTGAAATATTTATTGCGATAAGGAATAGAAGGAACTACGTTGCAAGGCAGTTGCACTTCCCTATTCTTGTGATGCTTGAAGCTTTGTTAAGAATGTGTACTTCAGCTGAGTTAGTTGTGATATGCCGCTGAATGTGTTATCTAATTTTTTACATTTATTATTGTATTGTAGGAGAATTCTGCCAAGACATTAACAGCTACTTTCCTGTGGACTAATATTGGCAAGCTATGTTTTGATGTAAGTAATTCTAATTTAGTAATCATATCATTTATTGAAGTTAAAATTAATTCTTTAGTTAATGAAATTGGTGAATTATGACTGTGTATTTTTCTAAATAGCCATGTGCTGAAAAATGTGTATCCTGTTTACTGTATGATTCTTTGAAAGCGTGTGACCACATATATTTTAATTGTTTCATCGGAGTTGTGTCCAATATAGAACAAATTAAAAACTTCTTGGAAGTAACTTTGCTTATTTAGCTTCTGACTGTTTTCCAATTCACTTGTTATGTTTCTGTGCCTCTTTCCACCAGATCTTCTTCCTTAATTCCAGGGGTACTTTTATGTTTGTTTGTTTGTTTGTTTGTTTGTTTGTTTGTGCTCAAGTGTATGTGTACCATTTCAACAAGCTGTAGATAGTTCCCTGCATGATATAAAATATTTTACATTTATTTTATTGGATACGTTATGTGAAGAACTGTTGTTTTGCTTTGAGTATACTATAGTGTATACATGGTAGGCATACTTACCACGAAAGAGAAAATGGTGTATTATCTGAGATTTGGAAACTGAATTTGATGTTAGAAGAATATTGTAGATTTATGATGATTTAGTTGGAGTAACTTTGTTGTCCTGTAGTAAGGTAGCTTAGGGCAAGATGGTCAGGTATCCCTTAAATGTAAATGAGATAATACCCTTGTATTAACCTGCTCAGTGCCTGGAGTATGAGGAGGCAGAGTAATCGGTACATGAGCTGTATTTGGATTTGAATTACTTTTATGTTCTGAAAGCTACTGATAATAACAAATTTTCCTTCTCAGTGTAAGTTACTTCTTGAAGGACAGAGATAGCCCAGTGGCCATGGTTTTCCTTCTTATGCCCCGAAATATTTTTATCTGAAGTCTTTCAGTTTTACTGACAGGAAACTTCTGTAGGCAACATTATAATCTCCCAGTGCATATTTTATTGTTTATCACAGTGTCTCCTATAGCCTAGCAGTGACAAGTAAGCACGTTGACTGACTGTCATGAGAACATAGGTTTGTTGTGTCTGTTGGCAGGCAGTATTACTATTACAAGATATGTTAGGTGTTTTGTGGCATAGTATATGTTTTATGTGAACATAACAGTACTTAATAATTGTATGTGGTAGTCATTACATTTGAACATGCTATGTCAGTACATATTTTTTAACATACTAAATTAACAGGATGTATCTGATGTCTGAAAAGCTGGTGACTACTTTCTGAATTGAGATTCAAAAGTGAGTCAGTCCTAAATTTTACTATTGAGAAACCTATCATTTATACGAGGTTTTGTTTTTGTTATGCAGAATTTGAATTTGTAATGTTGGTCAGTGAAAACTACAAATAATTGTTCGTAAACTGACGATAAAAAAAGATTAAGATAACTACATTGAGGTTGGTGTTTGAATTGCTTTATATTTTGTTATATACCTAAGTTTTCTATATTTATGGTGTCCAGAGAGTCACTCTGGGGTTTTAGAAGGCTGTATTTTCTTAACCATTATACACATTGAAGAAACAGTTCACAGAAATTATGTATAACTAAAAAGTGTTTGTCAGCAAATTTCCCTCAGGGCATGGCAGATATCTAACTGGCAGCTAATTTCAGCTCATCTTTGGAGTTGCTGTTTGAGAGCTGCAGTGATCCACTGTTTTGAGTCGTCTGCTTGCCCAACACACTCATACGTGGCACTTCTGACATTACTCCACAAGAGAAAGTCATGGACTAAATTTGATGAGCTTGCAGTGGGCATTAGCTGAGAGGTGAGGACCCATGCCTCTTGTGCAGTTATGTCAAAAGTTCCATGTATGGGTGTTCTGTGCAGGTGACCAGCTCGAACAGATCACTGCAACTGCTATTGACAGGAACTCTAGACATAAGCTGAAATCATTTATCAGCTAGATATGTGTGATGCCATGGAACCGGTAAAAGCAGAGTCTGCTTTTACCGGTTCTCACGCTCTCTTCACTTGCGGATTTCTTATATTTTTCCTTCTACCCTGAAGATGGAGGCGATATGTTCCTCCGAAACGTCGGTTAACACCACATATACACGGTGCCAAATCCCAGAAGACTGCTTTCTTCATGTGTAGAAATTCATTGACAGAATCTTTTTGAGTTATAAATTCTTTTCAGTTAATTTTTCTCGGGTTTAATATTCGAAAGTAAACAGCCTTCTAAAACCCTGGAGGGACATTGTGGGCATCCTGTACATAGGATGAAATGCTTTCAGGCAAATATATTCTCATATAATCAGATTATTTGTCTTGTTTTCAATGGGAGCTGGAATAGCTCAGTCGGTATAGAAACAGGCTAGGGGCTGGATGGCCAGAGTTCAATTCGTGGCAGGACATGGGGTTCTTTCTTCTCCACAGCATCCAGACCAGTCCTGGGGCCCACCCAGCTTCCTATCCGATGGGTACCAGGGGCTCTTTCCTCTGGGATAATGTGGATGGGTTGTGTTACCTCCATACCTCCATCTAGTGCTGAGGTCAAAAATGGTGGAGCTATACCTCTACTCACCCATACGTCTTCATGGCATGGTGCTTAATTAATTAAGCACAGGGACAGTTTGGGGAGCTGGAATACCATGGTCTGTGTAGTGACTGGCTCTGGGCTGGATGACCCAGCCGTTGGTGGGGGCAAGAATTTTCTCTCATCCATATCATCCAGACAAGTTCTGGGCCCATCCAGCCTTCTCTCCAGTGAATACTGGGGCTATTTCCCCAGGGGTAAAATGGCTAGCACGTGAAGCTGACCAGTCACCTCGAATAGATAATTTTCAATGCCTTATTCATTACATCTTTTAGAGGTATATTTACATGTGTTCCTAAAAGTGAACATAAAAATAATGTCCTTATCCCAACATATTTATGATGGAGACAACTGAATAGAAGTTAAGATTGTCACTAAATGAAGGGTGTTGCTGCATCTCTAAGAATATAACAGCAAACATATACCTGAAGGACAAAATTAGGCAGATGAGCACAAGTAGATTTCCATATCAACTCCAAACTTTTCAGAACACAGGGACATTCACTACATGCTTTCCAACACAGTTCAGAAATTATAACACATTAGATGAGTTAATTTGAAGTACAATACACTCTCCTATTGTAGAGAAAGAAGTTTGAAATTCGAGCACTCAACTGGCCTGCATCAGGCGAGAAATTCACCTTCTACACCAATAGTGATGAGAAGAGCAAACACCTCCTCTTTTTATGTCGGGTCACACATCAGTTCAGTATGGCAATACAGCCTCGTCTTTCTGAAGTTCGCCGTAAGGAAGAAGAAGGTGAGTCTTAAACAATTGACTGTAATGTGTAAAATATTTCTAGGATGGTCATTGTTGAATTCTGAAACAACGTGCTGTACAATATTCAGACTTTACAAATGACCTATCAATTTATTTTTTCCCACTAACTTGCATTTATTTTGGTGTATGTAAGGCTGGAGTAATTTGTTGTTAAAATTTACATAACCATGGACTGTTGACTGATAGGTGTCTTTGTTTATTTTATTAGAACGGAAACGCTACCGTGACTGCTACATGTATTCTCGTAGTCTTGGTGCTGAATTTCCATCACTGGCAAAACTAACAGGAAATTACAAGGGACATCATAGTGACCAGAGAATATCTGTTATCAGTAATACATCTTCTAACACAACTTCTGGCATTGTATCTGACCGTGTTCAAAGCTTGGATGAGAGTGAGGATGATCTTGAAATTGAAATTATGATTAATTCACCTCCTGCTCCATCAGTTGAATCATTGGCATTAGCACATCTTAGGGATGCTTCGGATATTCTGCAGGCCAGAGACTCGTCTGTTCCATCCCCTTGCTCTCATTGCCCCAAAGGTGAGTGACACAGCTGACAAAGATATAACTCAACAGGCTTCATATCTATGCATCACCTAAAGATACATTGAACCACATGGTGAATAATTTAGCAATCTTTCTTGCACAAGGGATAATTTAAATAGCACAGACCCTTGTGTCTGGGCTACAAGCCAAACGATAACAAAAACATTAAATGTCTTATGGAATATATGTTTATGTTCCAGATTCTTATCCTAAAATTATTTGTATTAATCCAAGGTAGAAGTATGATACTCTGTATTCTTACAAACTTCAGTCTTAATTTTATGGAGCAACATCAGTGTGAAAATTGGCATTGCTGGCTCTTTGTTGCCAAGGTCTCAGTTTACTGGGCATTTGTGAATAATATTTTAATTTTGTTTGGGAAATTAGTCTTCCAGCCATAATTGGATATCTGGCAAGCCATGAAGGCCCATGTACTCTTCGTTGCTGAGTTATACCTTCAGAGTGAAAATGAACATGAATGAGGCATAAATTTGCTTAATGTTTCAGTCTTTATGTATATTTAATTTAATGCATTGAATTAGTCTGCAATTTGAGAAAAGATATCAGGTTCAAACCATTTTCCCTGTCTCTGTTTTATAAATTTAAGTGTCATTTATTTTTATTTATATTGTTATCAGTTGTCCACTCGTGTGTGTATGTTTGAAAAGGTTTACCTAAGTAATTATTATTACCTTGAAAACACAAGGTAGTGATTGAGTAAATAAAATTAGAAACAAAGGATTGTAGGAGTTATTTACTTAATAAAGGTTCTATGAAGATTCTGAGGAAAGAAATCGCTGTTACTGTGAACTCAGTCAATTAAGAGACTATAGCAGACTATTGAGTATAATACATTAATTTTTCGTCATTGTTAAAGCTCACAGTTGTAAATAAGATATGTCGTTATGGGACCTGAACTAGCACGAAATGGTGTTACCCTATTCTAACCTACATTGATACTTTATGGATAATCTGAAAAATGTATATTGTATTATGGTTAGAGCAGTATGTTATAACTGCCATTCACAGCGGCCACTCTGTCTAAGGCATGAACTGTCTTCGCTTGCTTGAAGACTGGGATCATGGGTTCGAATCCCACTCGAGGCATGGATGTCTGTGTACGTTTATTGTGTGTTTGTTTTGTTCTGTGTATAGGTAGGGGCCTTTCAACGGGCTGATCCCCCGTCCAGAGAGTCCTACTGATTGTGTGTAGGATTAGGAAACTGAAAAAAAAGCAGCCAAAGCCCAACAAAGGGCTATAGAGCCATATAAAGAATAAAGGAGTATGTTATAACTGATCCAGGTGGTGTTGATGTGGAAGGTGGTACCTCACCGCTAGTGACTGGAATTACAGCACAGAAGCAGTCTCCAAGTGGCAGCACAGGTGTAGGTGGGGCAGCAACCCCTGCAACTACAGATGGTAGCCAGTGTTCCAGCTCATGCTCCACTGTTGTAGTTGCTGGTGCCACACTTGCTATTAGTAGTGGCGGTGCTGCAGGCAACAACTCTGTGGATGTGAGGCGCCGCGCCAGCACCAGCAGCAGTCTAGAGCTCGGTTATAGTCACACTGCACAGAACTCTGCAGTCTCTGACTCGGCAAGCACCTGCCCAGAGCTAGAACTTGACTATTCTGTACAGAGTGCACATACAAGTAGTGGCATTTACACTCTTCGTAGCAGTTGTGGCACTACAGTTGACACTGTAGAAACCAACGCCTGCTCATCCGAGACAAGCGGTGTCTATGCTGTGTGTAGCACAAACAGTATAGCCAATACTTCAGACAGCTGTCACCACGCTGGTGGTGCTTGTTTGGTCATGGGAACTTCACTAGACTCTAATGTCAGAGTAAGGGCAAGAAGTGGTAGCATTGCGGGATCTGTGGTCAGTGGGTCAGGAAGTTTTCGAGGTGATGGAAGTGATCCTTCTGAAGCGGGTCCAAGAAGCCCACTTACAGCTGAAGAGTTATCAGACTTAATTGTTGGAAGAGGCAGTGGTAGTGCTAGTGGGCATGCAAGTGGGGTCTATCCATCAAGAGCAACAGTAAGTGCCACGCTGGACTCCGACAGTGACTATGTCACACTTCCGCCTCCCCCCATGCCACCTCCACGTACAGATAGTGACAAGAACTACTTGCTTTTGGAGACGGCTTCTGTGACAACTGCTTGCACAGTGACACCTGCTGCATTGGTATCTTCTGCGCTCAGCATTGAAGATGAGGCAGAAGATATGATCTCTCCACCTCCACCACCTCCATATACTCCACAGCCTCTTTCCCAACAGAATTTGCTTTCCCAGCAGAAATCACTGGAACATATGCACTGTCAAAACTTGCATCTTCTACCCCAAGTAGACCAGACACTAGGCATTCTGACACAGCAGCAGCAGCAGCAGTTGTTGTTGAGTCAGACTCAGCAGCATGTTCTGGTCCAACAGTCTCACTCATTATCGCCTCAACAATCTGTGTGTTTGCTAACGCCTTCCCATCATCAGCCATCAATAATGAACATCTCACTGCCTGTGGAAGAAGCAAATGCTCGGTTCATCACCACCAAACCTCATATCAACATCTTAACTGCACACACAAGCCTTGTAACATCCACAGCTGCCCCAAGTTTTGCAGCACCCACGTTAGCATATCATGTTTCCAGCAGCTATAACAGTGGAAATTCTGCCACAGCAAATAGTCAGCAGTTGCAACTTTATCCACCAGGGGATGCCAGAATGCATGCTCCTAGTACTGTGAAGAATGTTGGAAGTCCACGTGGGGTTCATGTGCTACCGCAGCAACATGCTGGTAGTGGATCATCATTTGTAAGTTACTCTGGTCTGGCAGACCCAGGCGCCAAGATGAAACTTAGTCCTGTACAGACATTAGTACCAATCATTGGGAAGAACAACTATCTTGATGTCCACGCATCTAGAACCAATGCTACTGCACAGTCAACAGCTGCATACCTACGACCCACAGTCGCTATGTCACCACCTCCACCCCCACCTCCACCGCCACCTCCGCCACCATCATCATCGTCATACCAGTGTCGTCAGCGCCAGTTCTCACCACCACCTCCACCACCAGTTCATCATCCACGACAGCCCCCTCCCCCTCCTCCTCCCACTTCAAGCCAGCCAAGTCTGGCAACAGTTTACACCAGTCAGGTGACAAGAAGTCAGATCGAACAGTTCCAGCAACAGATGTACTCTGATGTTGACTATGTTATCTACCCAATGAAAGATCCAGCCATCAGTAAACAGGAATACATGGATGCTAAACAGGGCTCCCTTATTGCACATGCTGCAGCCATGCACTACCCATACCAGCAACTGCCATATCCACCACCCCCATACCCTTCATATCGTGCTGGTCCAAAGAACCACCTCATGTACCGTAGTACCCCTAATGTAGCAGTTGCTAGTGGGTATCTACCTGTTGCTTTTGGAAATTCCAGTATACAGTCTGCATCCCCTTCTCCAATTAAATTTGCATCAAATCAGAATTTATCATCAGTAGAACCATTAAGTGGATATGCAAGTTTTTCGCCATCATCCTATCTCTCTGCTAGTCACTTCTCCTCTGCTTCCCCCCTCTACTCAGCTGGCACATCATATTCATCATCATCAACAAAGAGCCTGAGATATGAACCTCCAGTCCCACCCTTCTCTTCCAGTGTTGCTGACTTGCGTCACATGAACCTCTCAAAGCTTCTCCCTTCTTCTACTTCTCAACCTCCAATTGGTGGATTTGGAAGAGCACAATCTGATGACAACATTCTTAACTCATATGAGAAGCCTAGTAATGGACAAAACTTGTTGGAGAGACCCAAGTACAGACGATTACCACCACCTCCACCTCCACCACCATATGACCAACAGGTAAGCATAACTATCAGTTTTCTTTCCATTCAACTTATATCTGAATAAAATATATGATAGTACTGTACCTTGCACGAAACTAGTTATGATATGATGGCTGAGAAAAATTACTCAAATTCGAGATAACTAATCTTCATTTAAATGCAGGCTGACTTCTTATAACATAATCAGGAAAAGAGTATTATTTTGTGGCAGGACATCATAGCCTGGTAGAAGTTTACCAACATTTTAGAGGAGCATTCTACCTCCCTTTTCATAGTGGAAGAGTAAGCAAACAACCTTACAGGCAAACAAACAAACAAACAAACAAACAGACAGACAGACAAACACACAGCACTCAATAATGTACACATACCCAGTCACTCATGAAAACATAGACAAAGAATTAAAAACCATGCCAGAAATACTATAAAACAGCCATTATCCATCCATCAGTAATCTGTCAGACGACAGGTCCACAGTCTCTTCACCTTATCGTGGTGAGGGGGTTTGAGTATGCCAAGGACCCTGAGAGCTATACCAGCGGTAGCGTAGCTACTGGCAGGGCCTCCCTTGCTGGACAGGTCAAAGGGTAGGCATCAGACGAAGAGAGACACCAAAAACTGATGCCGGAAGCAGCGTCATCAGCAGCGACTTGAAGCACAGAGCAAATGATGCTCGAGATGGTTCAAGTTCGTATAGCAACAGGCATGACCAGAGTGGTTTGAACGGCTGCTGTACTGCGATGTGGAAAGCAAATGGAAAAACTACCACATTATCACTTTTCCTGGATAGTCTCTTTCCAAAAACAGAAGCCATTATCACCAACAAATAATACACTCAAAACAAAAACAAAACAGTACTGCCTAAAACCCACAGAGGATACAAGAAACGAAATGGACCGTCACTTATCATGGACCGAAAACAAGACCAATTACAGAATTATGCAAGGACACAGATATAAGAATAGGCTTCAGAACCACTAACACAAAAAAAGAACACCTAAAACCAGGACAATTAACAATAGTGGCGTTTACCAACTAAAATGTAAAGAATGCCCACTAAGGTGTGTCAGACAGATGGGGGATGCACATTTAAAACCAATATAAAGAACATATCCCGGCCATAAGAACAAATAAACAAACTTAAAAATATGTCAAACACATGTTTGACACAGGACACACTCCCTGTCTACCAGGTGACATGATATCACATCCCAAGCGATGGCAATCTATATCATCACAGCCGTGAGAATGAAGCAGGTCATGTAGTTTCTAAAGGCTTCTGAGGATGGTGTAGAACACATAAAATTACCGAGTTTTTGGACTCTTTCCGNTTTGGACCCCCCCCCCCCCCCCCAGCTGAGGACAGAAACAAACCCACTTTCCAAAACATAGTATTTTCTATTTTCTAGAATACTGGAAGATGGAAAAGTACAAAGAAGCTTATATTAGAATACTCATATAGGACCATGGGTGATTCATCATCAAGACGCATACATCTCAATTTCCCATTTTCTCTTGAAAACCCATGTATGTGTTATGTGTTTAATAACCAGCATGATACTCCACAGGTGACTGAGAAAATCGCAACAAAACTTCAGCCTGCAATGCCTTTGGAGCCTTCAAAGGCGCCTGCAGCTAACGATGATGAAGAAGGCATGTTGGATATTCGAACACTAAGAGAGAAGAGCAAAAATCTAGATTTGCCACTAATATCTGCTCTCTGCAATGATCGTTCTCTTCTGAAACAGACAAATGCATTTGTTATGCCTCGGCACCCCGGACCTGGTGGAAAACGAGGAGGAGGAAGGTGCCAAAGGCCTGTTTCATGGCATGTTGAGACTGGATCCAAAGTTGGTTTGGTGAGCCCAGAAGGGAAAACAACAGTTTCAGACAGTAGTAGTTCAGTGAACACTGATATCAGTGGAACTGGTAAACCTCAGAAATCTATGCTTTTACCTTCATTATTAGCTAACAAATCATTATCATCAGGAAACAAACACTCTTCATATAGTAGCAGTAAACACAAGTATCCTGTGTCAGGTTTGTCTACCACTCAGATATCAAAGCCTCAAAGGAAAGTGTCTGCAAGTACCCACACACATCCAACCCATCCCCAGGACAACATGAAAGTGACACATGGAAATATAAACAGTTCTGCAGCAGTGAGAAGTGGCCAATCTGCAGTTAATGTTAAATTAGGAGTAAGTGGCAGCACAAGCAAGCAACATCGAGATGTTGTCTTACCATGAGAGAACACTACTGGCATGCCTGAATCATATGATTGTATGCATATTATCACAGGAATGCATATAATTAAGTGGTAGTTTAGATTCTAATTGCTTGTTGGACTAACCATTTATAGTTAAAACAGCCAGTGACATGGAATTTGAAATTGGTACAGATTTTCTGTCCTGTTGATCTATTTTATGAAAATGGCTCAGTATGATATAGATCACAGAAATTGGAATAATTGAAATTTCAAGATTTGATGAGTTCAGTGCTGTCATAGGCAGTAGATTGCGCTTAACTTCATCATGTGTATAATTATTAAGATATAAATCTGAATTGTGACAATTTACAAATCTTTATTAGACACTTTTTGAGGCTATTGTGGTACTGATTCAGTTTAGCTTGCAATAAATACAGTTTTACTCTGTGCTTAAGATTCATACCACACTTTATAACAAAACATCAGTTAATCAACTAGCTATTGGATATTTTATTTAATAAACACAACAGCATGGTTGTGTTCTGCTGCATCAGTATGTTACGGTGAAGCTTTACTGTACACATACCATGTAACAGCAGTACTGGATTTATGTATAAGCAAAATAAGCTACAGCGTAAGGACCTCCAAATTGTGAGAAGAAAGACCACCCCAAGACAACAAAACATTTGTACATGTCTCAATATAAATTGCTGAGTGCATCTTGTCTGGTAGGAATGATGGAAACAACAGATATAGAAAACTCCTTTCACAGTTGGAACAAATTAGGATGTGACATTGCTCTGTGCAGTTGTTGCCAAGCAATATATGTGTGCAGTTTCATGTGCACGGATATACCTGGTGTACTTAAATAAAAAAAAAAATTGGTGTTGCCATGTTTATTATAGTGTAGGTTATCATGGAGTCTTACTCCAGCCAACCATAACAGAATTGCAAGTGAATACAAATAATTCAGTTACACAGTATGTACACAAGCAGGCACTATTTCTTAATGGTCGTATTATTCTCTAGTTCAAACATGACAGTTAAATAAAAATGTTTATGTAGTTATGAGTAAAAAATATATTAAGCTGCAGAAAATTCAGTTTCATAAGGTAAGCAGTAAAATGGAAGTAAAATTAAAATTTTGCAACACAATAAAAAAGGTTATTAAGAGAAATTTTTATAAACAAATGTAATCAGAAACAAAAATAAGAAGAGATAATGAGATCATGACAAGAGCTACTTTGAGACGTGGTCCTTGAAAGCGCAAAAATGAGGTTTCTCAAACTTTTACTGGTTATTAGAAAATTAGATCATGAATAGAATATTAAAATCACAGTAATTAAATGTGTAAAATATTATCAGTGAAATGTGAAGGCTACTGAACAATTGATTACATACATATGCCTAATAAAAATAAATAGAATACCATTGTAGGCACTGGAATGCAAATCACTGGTGCAAGGAGATCCTGGACTTCTGAAGAGAAGATGGAGGGAGCAGTTACACCTGGGAGCTTTAGGAACAGGCACATAAGTCTAATACTGCATAGATCATGATGATGAAGAGTAACTCTCCCTTTCACTGTTTATTTTTATTTTATTTTATTTTACAATGCTGTCATTTTTGCAGACTTAGCATCAAATGATAGGGTGACTGGGGAACACTAAATTGTAAAGTATTTGGAAGGACTTGATTGTGGCCTAATTGAGGTACTGTTACAGCATTTTCCTGGGAGAACTGAGAAAAACCACAAAAACCTCAGGATAGCTGATGTCCTGGCCAAGGTTTAAATAGTACTGCTACACCATCCTGCTTGCTGATGAACAGTATTTTATAGAATACAAAACCACACATTTTGTCAGTGTTGTGGTTACTGAAACATAACATGTATAAAATGTGCATATGTGTTAATGTTACTGTTCCCAGATATCATTTCATATTTTGGCTGTGGCAAGACTATTGATTTACATTTACATTGATTTAGAAGTTTAATTAAAGTTGATGTGGTATTGATAGTTATGCAAGATTTCATTGAATGTTCTAAATTAATTTAATGGTTGTTTAACTACTTACCTGATGTTTCTTTCCTGAAAATCGACCCCAGAAGAATAATGTCTTATATTTCACTTTAGATTGTGTCACTGTACAATTTCAAATAAAGTTATACATTAGTCACAACAGTTCAAATGTTAGTGGTATACTGACATAATTATCCTAGATCAGGCTGGCCAGTGTATAAACACAACAGTTCTCAGTGAAGTACTTGAACTGTGATGATAATGTCACATTTCTTCAGGAGTGTGACTATATACGGGGTATGTATTGGCAAATTGATGTATTGACAACTTGTACACATTACTTGGAACTACAAGTAATTACAGTGTTATCACTAATCTCCACATTGTACAGAGCACCACAGCATCTGCTAAGCCTTTTCCATACTGCTGTATCTTCAACAGCTGTTCCCTAGCAATGGCTTCTAACAGTGGAGATTCTTCAGCTTCCTGCAACCTCGTGTCACAGTTGCCCATGCAGAACTTGTTAACTGACAACCCAGCTAACTGGGTCTCAGGCTGGCAGTCATTACACACCAACCTCGAGGTCTTCTCTTCACAGGCTGACTTTCAACTGACAAATGAACACTCTCATTCACCAACCAGCTACTTCACGTCACTTCACTCAACTGAACTGCTGGCAACTCTCTCTCTCTCTGTCAACAACCATCTACTTCATGTCACTCCACTCAACTGAATCGCTGACAGCTCTTAACTCCAGAACTCAACTGACCCTGCTTATAACATTTCAGCAGGAACCACATAGAAAACGCTGTTTCCAGTGTTATAGTCCGACAATACCTTGACCGTTGCATGCATATCCATTGCCGTGGGAACATGTTTACCAAGCAGTTGCCTAGTGATAGACCGGGTATTATTGACATGTTTGCTGGCTGTTATCAGGCAACATGTTCCTTCTTGAAATCATTGAACAGCAACAGCTATCTTCATTTGTTGCATCCTGTTGTGTGTTCCAGATATATATAGGAATTAGGTTAACTGTCAACACAACAAATATACTGGCATTTAATGTTTTACAATTCAACTTTGTATTCCTGCTACATGTTTCGGTCATACAAGACCATCATCAGGTAGTTATATTCATTCATCAGTAATCTGTCAGAGGACAGGTCCACAGTCTCTTCCGAAACAATTCCTGCACTTAATGCGATCTCAAGCCTTCTCCTTCAAATAAAAATATCCTCTTCTGTTCCGAAGGTCATCCAGCATCTTCTTACGTCTTCTAGTCACTTCTGTCTGCCCTTCCGGTTTGTTTTGTCTCCAGAGGAAACATCTCGCATACATGGTATCTCTGTTTTTGGAAAGAGACTATCCAGGAAAAGTGATAATGTGGTAGTTTTCCATTTACTTTCCACATCGCAGTACAACAGCCATTCAAACCACTCTGGTCACGCCTGTTGCTATATGAACTTGAACCATCTCGAGCATCATTTGCTCTGTGCTTCAAGTCGCTACTGACGACGCTGCTTCTGGCATCAGTTTTTGGTTTTTGGCGTCTCTCTTCATCTGATGCCTACCCTTTGACCTGTCCAGCAAGGGAGGCCCTGCCAGTAGCTATGCTACCACTGGTATAGCTCTCAGGGTCCTTGGCATACTCAAACCCCCTCACCACGATAAGGTGGAGACACCAAGTTATATATAGGAATACATTTAGTTACTGAACTACTGATATGGATCCATACCAGTGTAATGTGTCATATTATATAATAACAGATAAAATTTGCCTCGAGTTGGTAAATATTACAATTAAAATGGAAGATAAGAAGTAAGATAAAATATAAAAAATGAAATATATACAATATATCAAGATATATTAAGTGATATAAGTGTTGAATATATTATGGAAATATTAAAAAACTTAGAAATGTTTTAAAAATATTTAAAACTATTTAGTATGGGAGGTTAAGAAAATATGTACGCCAACTTAATTCTAAGGTTCCAATGTAGAATTGGGCATGTCATATCATGTCCATATCGGTAGTTCAATAACTAAACATATTCCTATATATAATTGTCTGATGATGGTCACGTATGATCGAAATATGTAGCAGGAATAAAAAGTAGACTTGTAAAACATTAAACGCGAGTATATTTGTTGTGTTGACGGTTAACCTAATTCCTATATATAGCAACAGCTATACTTTCTACAGTAAAGTAAAATAATTTTTAAATACAGTAAGTCATATATTTACAGTGACACTGAATAGTGGCGCCATCAGTAGTATTGACTTTCTGTGGATTTCGTTGCCTCATGTATTATGCACCCAGCTGCACAATTCACACTGCCTTTGGGCTTTATTTCCTCTCTGTTGGGATATTTGTTCAGGAAAGTGTCCTTTTGATATCCCAAAAGAGCTGGTGATTTTCGTGGACATGATGCCTTTCATAAGGATTTCTATGGATGATGTTTCAGCAGTCTTCTTGTATTACACAGAGTCTATTTATAGAGGAATCTTTTACTCCATTCTTTGCCATAGAAGACAGGAGCTCTACATTGCCAGATCAAATATACAAAATAATATATTTGTATGGTACAGTACTTGTTTCCATGTTTTGTAAGTACAGAGTAATCTGATAGGTGCTGGTCAGCAAGATTTACCCCCTTCCATTCTGTCATTATAGTCAGTGACTACTTGAAATTTTGTCTTCATTTGATTATCTCCCATGTCAACCATTTGCACATTGTATGTCATGCTCAGCAGTACAACACTTTTCTTGTATTTCCAGTGCAGGGCCATTACCTTCCCTCTTTGGAGAGCCATTACTTTTCTTTTTCTGTCCTTCATCGCTTCTGGCTGGGTCATATCTTGCCTTATCATCTTCGATTGTGCCATACATACATGTAATGCTGAAAATCTGAGTATCTTGTAACTGTGGAGCTATATAAAAATTACCACCAATTAAACAGAAGCAACATCACAAATTGAAGATCTTTTTTATTACTTGCCAAGCTTGGTGCATTTCTCAATGTATATAACAGCAGCAACTCATCTCACATTGCACACACATGCACAGACATATTTACCCCAAATCTGGCTGTCTTCAGTGGAATGTATTGTACCCAATCAAACCGGCCTCTGTGAGCAGTTGATTCTTGTCTACAATGACATCAGTTAGTTACAGTCAGTCACCTGTTACCTGTATGCAACATGCCAGTGATGTTTGGTTGTGGAATTATTTATTAATGTATCACATGGCTATTGTTATTTGCCAGGCATGTAATTATTTAGTTCATGTCACGAATAACATGAGAGGTTTCAGTCACTCTGATCATTCTTAGGTGTTAATGTTCTGTCCTGTGAGTTAATAACTGTTACTTGCATTGTTCTTCTTCTTGAAAACGAGGTATTACTTTAAAATTAATATTAAAATTGAAATTGAAATTAAAGTTTTTATTAACATTGATGTTGATTTCAGCATTGTAATACCTGACATTGTAAATTCAGCTGTTTCGTACTGTTTACATGTGATCTAGCATGAGAAATCTATATACACATTGTTTAGTAAAGCACAGCACTACGTCATATACTGACATATTTTGTGTGATATGTATAATCATGACTGAAGTATTATTAATTTAATACTTTTAGGATGAAAGAAGAAATCATGCCCAAGTTAATTTAGGATAATATTTTTAACAAATGTATTAATCCAAGGTATTATGGAATAATCAGAGAAAGCATTAACAAGTTTGATAAACAGTCGTAAATGATATTTTGTATCAAATATATTGGTAGAAGATGAGAAATGTAAGCATAAGAGGCAAAGGAAATTTGTAAGCCCCAGAAAAATCTATCTCAATAGCCTCAAATCATGTATCTTTTGTGGGACAAATTACAATCACACTTAATATGTGTGAAGTGATATGGCAATGTTATATCACCCAGGCTTATGTACAGTCTTAATATTCTGTAGAGTGATGTGTAAGTTAACAATTTCTCTAATCCAAATAAGATTTTAATGCGCTAGTTGTACTACAGTAATATCCAGAATTTATATACATATAACCGTTTTTCTCTTGAAGTAAAAAAGATAGAATTATATTTGTGGCATTCTGATGTCCAGAACGATAGATATACAAGTAATTTCCTTAACATTTATGAAAGTATAACACCTTCACTTAAGAATTGTTAAGCGGTTGAAAGACATTCTTCTTCGTATAGCTTTGAATTGAGTGATTTAGCAGTAGTTTTGAAACATCTGATTTATTGAATTCTAGGAATTCAGTTTCATAATCTGGTTGTAAGTTTTCTATAATTTCAGATCATAATAATGAAATTTCGGACAGAGTCATTGATCTTCCTTGCTGCAGGCATATTAGGTACCGGAACCCACCGATAAATCCAGCTGCCATTTATTAAAGTATTTGTTATATATTTTCTTAGTAGAAGGATATTTTACTAAATGTAGACATTAGAACAGTGTGTATGACTTTGCCAGATTTTTTCCTTAGTAACAGCAAGCAAAAGGAGATAGAGACATTTTTTGTAAGGCATATTCAAGAAAGAATTTGAGACCCAGCTGCAGCAGTAGTTTAGACCGAAAAGAGTCACGCAGAAATCTTTTATCACTTGGAATATATTGACACTTTTCAGTCAGTCTGGGAAAGGTTGAATCTTGTGCTCAAAGAAAGAGTATAGCCTTGCCTGATTTCCTTTAAAAAATGGGCATTCGATTCTGAGTGACTCTTGTAGCTCTTGTACTGCTCTTTCAAAGGGCCTTATAACAGTCAGGCCTATTGTGTAATTTTGCAGTGGAACCCATAGACCACATTTTAGCATTTTTTGCGGAATGTAAATTGTCACTGCTCTAAAAATAACCTTTCTAGTGCATAATAATATCCTATATATACACTTACAATTTTGTCATATTGTCTTTATGTTCATCTGATTAATTTTTTGGCTTTAGAAGGAGAAATATTCTGGATAATATAGTGACAGAGATGTAGTGATTTTGTAAATTCATTATCTGGAAGAATGTTATGTGAAGTACAATCAGTCTTATTAACGAAATTAAGTTACTTTTAAATGTTTTATTAAGAATCTGCTGATGACAAGATATCCCTGTGTTTCCATAGACAATTTAACAAAGCTTCTGGTAAAAGAGTAGCAAAGTTAAAACTTGACTTGAGACAGACCATGGTGAAGTCTCTTGTTATAATTCCATGAAGAATTTGGATGAGGTACTTACTGATTACCTGTATCATTTTGGGTGAGCAGGTTGGTAATGAAATTTGGATTAATTTAGAGATTTATGTAAGGTGTTGAACAAATCATTCAAAGAAAAGTCATAAACGATTTGGTAAATATACAGAGTTATACTATCTGAAGCCTGCACCAAAATAGTACTTTTGTCTATGTAAGTTATAGCTCAGATCATATTAGAGCTTACCACACATTGGTGAGCAGCTGGTGCAAAAGTGTCTGTCACTGTTCCTTTCTGATGGGGTTATGGAGATTTGAACTATTGGCAGACTCAACAAACTGTTACATATAAAATTACAAATGAAACCCACATTACAGCATATGCTGGAAATGATCTCTTGTTTTGCACACATTCCAGGCACCTCTTTAAAAAGTCTGCATTCACGTATTGAAGTTATTTTTCTGAAGTAAAGTATACTTGAAATTTTAAACGTATACCCAAATACTCCTGTTCAAGTTGTCTGAGGGACTGTTGTCTGTGACCCCACACCAGCATGATGAAGCTGGTGCTAGGCTTGAACAGTCTGTTGGCTGTAATAACAGCAGTTCCAGCATCTGCTGTAACCTAATTAAGCTTTATTCATAATTTGTTAGATAATAGTTGTGTTGATTCTTCTAGCAGTCTAAATCTCCACAGTTACAGTAGATGGGGGCATCACAGTCTTCCACCTGAGCAGTTGAGTCTGTGGGAAGGTCTAAGATAAGGCACTGTATAAAGCACATATTATACAGTTAGTTTAATGAGAAAAGTTTAAGAATGTTCCATTTTTGTTTTATTATA